GGCTATTGTGGGTCTGAAGGGTGAACTTGCCCTCTTTCCTTGGTAGCCTATGACATTTTAGGTACCAGCACTCTGAGACCTGTTCTTCTAGTCATTGCAAAGATAAGTCACAGATACTCCCCAGGCACGGGAAGGGCAGGAGGGAGATAGTAGCATTATTGTTAAGTCACACCCCAAACAAAATAAACACGCTAGAAAATAGATTATTAGAAGAGCCACCCGTAGTTTTACATCCCACCGAAGGCACTACTGCAGATGGAATATTTAATTTAACTTGAGAAAAACACGGCCAGCTGTTTGTCCCAGTTGCCTGTCGTTGAGTAAGAGTGATGCACCATTGCCAGGGCAGGGAGTGGGGGAAGCTCTTGGGTCCACGCAGCTGCTCAGGATTTAGTAGTGAGGCCAAGCCTCGCAGGGGAGGGCCTTCAAATTTCCTCTCCTGAGCTCCACTTCGTAAGTTCTCTCCGTTACATAGATGAAGGACCGAAGCAGGGCCCGGCAATGCGCTGGGTATTGAGGCTGCGTCTCTGCAAACTGGGCTCTGTTGTGTAGGCTCTGGCCGAGCACTGAGCAGCAGATATCCCCTGTGGGGCCCTGAGCTCTAGTCCAGGGTGATCCCAAGGGAAGGGGCACCAAGGCCACTGGGGCCTCTCCCCTGGCAAGCTGCTTTTGTCAAGCTCCCATCTTCCTGTCCCCTCCTGTCTGGAAACCTCTGGCCTCCCTCTGCTGAACTAAGCTCTGGCTCCTCAGCCAGGCACCCAGAACCTTCCCTGTTGGTCCACCCTAGCAGGTCCCCCGCCTCAGCCACATCCCATTACTGGGTATTTTCAGGACAGGCCGTGGTACCTTCCCAGCTCACATGCTCATTTCAGTGGTTACCTCTCTCCAGAAGGACCCACCTTCTTTGGTCTCAGCCTGGCGACATGCTCCTAACCGTTGAAGCCCATTCTGTGTTTTTTCTACCCTGTGGCCGCAGGCAGCTGAAACAGTCTGTCCCCTCTTAACTCCAGAGATTCATGGCCCTGTCTCTGCACTTAACTGTTGCTCCCCCTGCACTTATCTGTCCTGAACAGAAGGTTCTTGAGGCTGGGGAGTTTATTTGTTTAAAATCCTTGGAAGATAGAAGGGAGAGCCTTTTGTAGTAGGCCCAAGTTGGGAGAGGTACAGGCAGGCTGTGCTGTAATTGGGGGATGCAGTTAAAGTCCTGTGGGATTACTTGAGACCACAGCCAGAGTCCCTGTGTTCAGAAAGGATGGCAGCTACAATCCCTGCCAGGGGGGAAGGAACCTGCCTGCTCGGTTTAGAAGTCATCTGAAATTCCAGGAGTAACTGACTTGGAGAAGAAGGTTCAGCGCAAAGAGCAGATCTGGTCCATGCCTGGGGCATGACGCGCAGCCCAGAGGGCTCTGGGAAGTTACTGGTAACTCAGCCACTGTCTCTGTCCAGGATGTTGGTAGGGACAGTCAGATCCTCCAGGGTTTGTCTGAAATTCTTCATGGCCCTGAAACCTGTGGGTGCGGATTTGGGGCTGTGGTGCAGCTGTCTAGAAACCTCACGTAGGGCAGTCTTGGGAGGGCACCCCACACACCTGCTCCACCCCAGGGTGTCTCACTGTGGCTCTTGTGGCTTTGGTCGCCACCTCTAAACTCATCAGACCTGGTATTCATACACCTCCTCAAGAGCCCCTGTTCCCTTCTTTTTGTAGGGGCAGGGTCTCTTTCTGTTTCCCAGTTTGTTCTTGACCTCCTGGCCTCAAGTAGTCCTCCCGCCTTGGCCTCCTAAAGTGACAGGATTGCAGGCACGAGCCACATGCCTGGCTAGTTCTATTTCCCTGAAACTTCTTCTCCCTCCCCTCATAGTCCCCACCTGGCTGTTGTCCTAGACTCTGACCTTATCCTAGCCTTCATTTCAGGTCCTATCAGTTACCTCTCGCCCATTCCTGGGCTCTGTCCCCTCACTCATATCTCCTGTGTTGCCCTAGGCCCTCCTCACCTCCCACGGTAGTCTGGAAGGGAAGTCCCCTTCCATTTTTGATCAGGGACTAGACTGACATTCGTAAACACAGATCTTGTCTGTCACAGCTGTCCTCAGTCTGATGGACACCTCCTTAACATGGTGCGTGAGACCCCTCTTACCTCCACAGCCCTACCCAGCTCATCCTGGATGATGTGAGGCCCTCACTGGGACATCCTTCCTCTGCCCTCATCTCTGGCCTAGAAGAACATGTCTCCCTCAAATACTGTCTTCTCTAGGAAACAGTCCCGATCTCTGAGACCTTGGTGCCTTCTTTATACTTCCGCACCTCCTGTAGAACACCTGGCTTATCTCATTTGTCACTTTGGATGGTTTTGGTCTTGGAAACATCTAACTCATATCTCCAGAGCCCAGCATGATCTTAGACACACAGTAGGTGTGTGTCAGGTGTTTGTTGATTGAATGAGTGAGCATACTGACATTTCAAAGTGGCCCTCACTCTTTTTTTTTTGCAGTTTTGACCGGGGCCAGGTTTGAACCTGCCACCTCCAGAATATGGGGCCGGTGCTCTACTTCTTGAGCCACAGGCACCGCCCAGGCCTTCACTTTTTTGGTCAGGTGCTTCGCCCTCTATGGTATGAGTTTCCTCAGGCCAGTCCCAGGAAAGGCCTCTGCGGCCACGGTGGGGACTCTGAGGGCCTCTTGCGTGTCTTACAAGTTTGCTGTGGGGCAGGACCTGCGTCCAGGTCTTCAAGCTGCTCCCAGTCTCTCCTGAGCCCTGTGCTGCCATTGTCTCACAGGAAGCAGAGCAGATTCCCCTGTTCCTTTCTCTAGGTGCTTTCCGAGGCAGGCCATGCTCATGTTCATGGCCTCTGACAGTGAGGAAGAAGTGTACGACGAGCGGACGTCCCTGATGTCAGCCGAGAGCCCCACACCACGCTCCTGCCAGGAGGGCAGGCAGGGCCCGGAGGATGGAGAGAACACTGCCCAGTGGGTAGGTCCCACCACCGGGGGAGCGGGCAGGCTTCAGACAGGGCCCTGGAGTTCCTGTACCTCACAGGTGAAAGTCAGACCTTCCCTGAGTGGGAGGGAAGGGGAAATAAAGGGGCGAGTCAGCCAAAGGGGTGGACAACACACCACAGTGCATCTGGCACCTGCAGGGCTTTGTAATAGACTCTGCACGTTCGCCGGTGAAGATTGACTGGCAGTGGGCTGATGACACTCTCTCCCCGCCTTCTGCAATTTACCTTGCTAGTGCAGGTCACAGGAGAATTAATATGGATGCCTCAATGCTGGACAGGTAGCACAGAACTTAGAGTGGTAAGAGGAAAGGCTGCTGAAGGAGAAACGTTTTTTGGCAGATGGTCAGATTCGGTGACCATGAGAGGAGTGCCTCCTTCGCGTTTGACTTTTGAGCTGGGCATGGGTGGGCTGCCCGGTGATCTGCCCTCTGCAGCCCCCAGGGCCTGAGGTTGGAACATAATGAGCGTGGGATGCCCTTGGGAGAGTCACTTAGTGGTGCCCTCTCCCTTCCCATCAGGGCAAAAACAACATCTGCGTTTGCCTGAATCTCATTCTCTGTTTTGCCCATTATAGAATTTAAAGACCTTTCCGTGTGGATTGTTTTCTTACAGCCAGCCTTAATCGCCTTTGCTGAAATTTGAGCTCATATCTCTGCGTTCTTCACGAAAACAGAGCCTTAGCTCGGAGTGAAATGTCACCAGCTCAAGGCCACTACTCAGCCTTTTTTTTTTTTTTTTTTTTTTTGCTAGTTTCTTATTTTGTCTCCAGGAGGTTTTGTGCATTTTAATTGTTTCAGTTCCCATTCATGAACCGTTTTTCTTTCCTTTCTCAGCTAAATGTCTAGATTGGGGCTCTCTGCAAAGAGCCGATACTGAAGTGACTGTCATTTTTGGTTTTTGTTTCATTCGGCCTGTTCTTTGGCTGCCAGCCACAATTTCGAAACAGAAATTCTTGTTTGTGCTGGAGGCTGGCAAATGTCCTTCCCTCCCTTGCGTCCTCCTCGTTTCCACTCTCCCCACTTCCCAGATCCGTATCTTCCCAGATGCTGATGCCTGCCAGCCTCTCTCAGACACAGTGCAAACTGATGTGCTAGTTTTGTGTAGCAAAAAGTTCAAAATAATATTTTTTCCTCTGCAGATTACTGGAGTCTTATTCACGCCCAAAGAAGAGACTCTTCCTGAGTGTTGATTATTCTAGTTAGTGATTTTTTTTTTTTTTTTGCAGTTTTTGGCTGGGGCCACCTCTGGCATTTGGGGCTGGTGCCACAGGCGCTGCCCTCTAGTTAGTGATTTTTTCATCTCTGTTTTTCTCCTGCCACCTGGCCTGTCTCCTCCTAGGTCAGTATGGCCGTGTGGATGGAGTTTGGTGGCATCCTGATTCCCTGTACTTAGGAATGGGAAAGGTCTTTCGATTATTCCAGATTCATTAGCTGTTAAGCACTAAGTCTTCAGACCGCCCTCTTCTGTGGCTTGCAGCCTCCCTCCCTTTGCTTGTTAGCCAAGCCCTAAATCTCCTCTACTCTTGTCTTCATAGACTTTCCCAGCATCCTCCAACTTCCAGCAGTCCCACACCTACTCTGCAGCTCATAGACGGCTTCTCATATCCGGAAAGTAACCTTCAAACTCCTCATTTGCAAAAATCCACACACAACATCCGTAGTCCACTGTGGGGGGCATTCCCTGACCCTCATGACGTGGCTTCCCACAGAGAATCCAGGATGGCGAGGAGGATGGTGACGAGGACCCTGACCGCTATGTCTGCAGTGGGGTCCCTGGGCGGCCCCCGGGCCTGGAAGAAGAGCTGACCCTCAAATACGGAGCGAAGCACGTGATCATGTTGTTCGTGCCTGTCACTCTGTGCATGATTGTGGTGGTGGCCACCATCAAGTCTGTGCGCTTCTACACAGAGAAGAACGGACAGCTGTGAGTAGGGGACAGAGGTGGCGCAGGTCAGGGGTGGTGGGGGCTAGGTGAAGGTGGCCACCTCTGTTGGCACCTGCAGCTCCACGCCAGTGGCAGTAGGAGCAGGGATGGAGAGCTGCCAAGTTCACAGCCTGGGCCTTCTGCCAAGTTCACAGCCTGGTCCTCCTTCATGGCTATGGGACCTGCCTGGGCACATCCCTAGCCTCTCTCTCTCAGTCTCTCTGCGTGGTGGGTTTGGGAATGGGTTCCTGGGAGAACTGAGTTAATACAAGTAAGGGGCTTAGGACAGTGCCTGCCACAGGTGAGTGCTCAGGACCTGCCACTCGGAACCTCAGCTCAACACTGCATGGCAAGAGCCTGCTTTCTGCAGTGAGACCCCAGCACAGGAGGAAGCCTGGACAGAACTTAGCCAGCAGTTTGACTGCAGTCCAAGCTGGGAAGAGGGAGATACCAGCCAGCTGCCTACTATCTCTGCTTCCTGAGTTCAGGGGCGGCAAGTGTAGCTCCCAGACTCAGAGTGGGGTGAGGGAGGGGGCCTGGTAGGAGTGTGGGTGTGGGGGAATGAGCAGGGGGGTGGGTAGAGAGAAGCGCCTGGTGGGGGTTAATCCGAGTAAGGGTAGGAGGGCAGTAGGGAGGTCATCAAGCCCATGTCCCCACTGTTGCGTGGGGCCAGTCACAAGGCTGAGAGCCACAGGTCAGTGCCAGGAAACAGATGGGAAAACCGGGATGACTCATGGGGATGGTGGCAGGGCTCCAGCAGGGTGGTGTATGGGCACTGTGGGTGTTCCCAGGTACTTCCCCACATGGTCAAGGATGGCTCAGGGTGGGGGGTTTAGGGAGCGGGAGCAGGCGGGGACCCAGAGTGTGAGCCCTGTGCCTCTTCCCTCAGCATCTACACACCATTCACTGAGGACACGCCCTCGGTGGGCCAGCGCCTGCTCAACTCCGTGCTCAACACCCTCATCATGATCAGCGTCATCGTGGTCATGACCATCTTCCTGGTGGTGCTCTACAAGTACCGCTGCTACAAGGTGAGGCCCGGCCACCTCCGCCACCTTCACAAAACAAAACCATGGGAGTTCCTTTTTGTCTACAAAATGGACTGATTTCTGATACTCTTCCTCACCCTAGTCCATCCCCCACCACAGATGACCTAACACTATTGTCTGTTAGCTGTACCCGGAATCCCACTCAGCTGAGTTCCTCATCACAGTGCTCCTGGCATTGCTTCTCATATTCAGAAGTTTATTTTATTTTGCTTCTCCTTCTGAAGGTCTATCTTAGGCTCCCCTCACCTGCATAATTCCCCTCAAGGTTTATTTTTATTTTTCCGTTTCCGTGCTAGACAGGGATGTACAGATGCTCTGCTGAGGTCTTCCAGCCCTGGGAGACATTTGGGTTGGGCCCACCTGTGTCTGCTAGGGAGTAATGGAAGAGCCGATCCACCAGCCCAAATCACGGGCACCCTCTTGTCTCTAAAGATGCCCTGTGCTTTTAGACATTGATTTCGGGCCTTTCGCCTCTGGAGGACATTGGACCCCTACGTACGTACTGAAAGGAAATTAAGCTAGGTATCACCTAATTAAAATTGTTTACCTGGGGTGGTGCCCGTGGCTCAGGAAGTAGAGCGCCAGCCCCATATACCAAGGGTCACGGGTTCAAACCCAGCCCCTGCCAAATGGCAACAAAAAAATAGCCGGGTGTTGTGGCGGGCACCTGTAGTCCCAGCCACTCGGGAGTGTCAGCAGACGTGAGGGAGCCTTATCTCTTGCACACACTGCAGGGGACCAGAAGAGAACTCCTTGAATTTCTGTGCTGTCCTCATATGTCAGATGGCCACCTGCTCCCTTCCATCAGTCATGAAGTAGCCGAATGAGGAAAGACTTGGGGGCTTGCATGTTAGTCCCAGGAACCTGGGGCCTTGTGATCCGGGAGCTTGGGGACACCTGGTGACCGTCCTGTCTCTGTTGTCCAGTTCATCCACGGCTGGCTGATCATGTCCTCCCTCATGCTGCTGTTCCTCTTCACCTATATCTACCTCGGGTAAGTGGTGGCTGGTGAGCAGCCGCGGGGGCCCGGGACCCCTCTCCTTGCAGTGTGAGTGAATGTGAAGGGCCTAAACTGGCAGGGAGGGTGACCGTCCAGCTGCAGCCCTGCCTCATGTCAGCTGTTCTGAGGCCCAGGCCTGCGGGCCCCTCTCCTGTGGGCCTGGACACAGAGAAGTGGGGCTTCATGGTGGGCCACGTGCCTCTTTCTAGTTCCTGATTAAGAACAAAGTTGTCCTAGCGGAGGCTCTCTGAACTCCAGGGAGGGTGGAAACCTCTCCAGATTTACAGTCCCATTTTTGGGGACTTCTAGTTTATGGGAATGATTATTCGTTCTGTTGTTCCTTGACCGGAAATATCAGCCTGACCTGGGGTTGACATCTTACCAGGGTCACACAGGGTCACTCTGGGGTCCACAGAGACTGGAGGGACAAGGAGAAAACACTTTTCCAAAGACCTTTTCCCTGTGCAAAGGGTCTTCCAGGTTGTACCAGGACACAGTTACATGAGCCACGCTAAGCATGAGTCTTTGATATATTCCCCTGCTTGTTCTAGAAAATATTTTGAATGGTTAACTGTAGTGCCAATAAAGTGGGGCCATGAATGAGGCGGGGCTGAGACTGAATGGTGTTAAACTATGTCAGGGCATCGTGTCTCCACTGAGTCTCCTGCCCACGGGCGCAACCTTGGTCCTGCAGGGAAGTACTCAAGACCTACAACGTGGCCATGGACTACCCCACGCTCGTGCTGACCGTCTGGAACTTTGGGGCTGTGGGCATGGTGTGCATCCACTGGAAGGGGCCCCTCATGCTGCAGCAGGCCTACCTCATTGTGATCAGTGCGCTCATGGCCCTGGTGTTCATCAAGTACCTCCCGGAGTGGTCCGCCTGGGTCATCCTGGGTGCCATCTCTGTGTACGGTAGGCGGGCTGCGAGCCTGGCGGTAGGCGGTGGGGGTGACGTTCAGGGCGCATCTTCTCACTACTCCACAAGGGGGACAGTGCTGTGATGCCCACCCTCCTGAGAGGTTTGCTTTTTGAAAACACAGGAGGCCTCACAGACTGTTGCTGTTCTAGAAGTAAAACCCGGTAGCCACCGACCTTCTTGTTCTCCGTTATTATTGACATGCCGATCGAACGTGTGTGCCGTTAAAACAATTGACACCTTAACTTATTTTTTCCTGAGAACAATTCTAAAACTTGGGCACAGCACCTATACATAATCCCCAATGTTAGCTGCTATTTAATTGATACTGGCATGATTACCATTGTTAGTATTTCTGTTTCTGTTTTAAGGATAAGGAACTTGAGAAGTAGGACTCTGTAGTTTGACCTCTGAGTCTCCCTTGCTTGCAGTCACCATTTCAGGCCCGGCTCTGGCCAGGGTGGACTCTGGCTTGTGACGGGGCTTTGGGGTGCCAGCCCAGCACTGAGGCATGTGCTGAGAGCTCCACCCTGGGGCTCCTGGGGATAGGCTGCTCCTTTGGGGCTGCTTGGGGATAAATGTCTTTCTTTAACGTGACAAGGATGTCTCTGTTTTCCCAGATCTTGTGGCTGTCCTGTGTCCCAAAGGGCCACTGAGAATGCTGGTGGAAACTGCCCAGGAGCGAAACGAGCCCATTTTCCCTGCCCTGATATACTCATGTGAGTGGCTGCCGCGCCTCTGCCTGACCATGGCGTCAAAAGTCTGTAGTGGGGACAAGGGGACTTCCTAGCTATGGCTTTTGGAGTTGACTAGGGGACACCTACCTTTTCCTAAGCAAAGGGAGGAACCAACCCTGGTCATCCCGGGAAGGGCTCCACCTTCAGAGACCCAGGATGGTGTCATCTTGCTGTTACTTGGGAAAAACCATGAAAAGTGAGAGCAGGAAGGGGACGTCTGAGGGCATGTGGTGCAGCCCCTGACTCTGTCCCCTAGTGACACACAGTGGGTACACATTCCCATGAGTAGAGCCGTGCAGCCACCCCTCAGCTCTCTAGGCTTCTGAGAAGGGGCTTTGGAGAGGGATTGTTTAGGGGAGGACTGGGCCACAGGGAGCTCCT